AGCGCCTTCAGCGCCATGGTCTCCATGCCGCGCACCATGCTGCTCATCACCTCCAGGCTGTGGCGCTTAGTGGCTGGGCCGTGGTGCTTGGTGGCCAGCAGGGGCTCGCTCACCTCCTGCAGGGACTGGTGTACCACGGGGGAGCTGTCCTCCTGGAAGGTCTTCACGGACAGCTGCACCTTGCGCGTGACCAAGTCGGGGCTGCTGCCGCTGACATACCTGTGCCGGTGACTGGCCAGGTCTGGGGTGCTGGTGGCGGGCCGGGGCCGGGGGTAGGGTGGTGGTGGCCGGAAGAGGCAGTTCTTGAGCATGTGGGATGTGCTGTAGCACTGGGGCCCCGGCAGCTGCATGTTGGCCAGCTCCGGGGTGCTCACTGTGTGCGAGATGGCGCTGGCCCCTGGCTTGCTGGGCACGGCGCCGCTCTTGGGGCTCCCGTGGTCCACTGGACACACCAGTGCGTGGCCGTAGCCCACCTGCGGGGTGTAGGGCATGGTGTAGGGGTGCCGGTCGCGCATCTCCGGCTGGCTGTACACCAGCTCCTCGGGCTGGCTGTAGGCGTGGGCGCCGAGCAGGCTGAGGTTGCGCAGGGACTGGCTCTGGCTGTCCCCGTGGATGGCCCCCCTCTTCATCTGCCGCATGACGGTCTCGTAGTCAGGAGTCGGCCGGTAGGACGGCACGATGATGGCACTATGCCGGTGGCTGGGGACGTAGTCGGCCCGCATGATGTCGCTCCCGGGGATGCTGAGGTTGGAGGACACCGGCGAGGTCTGCAGGAAGCTCTGCGGGCAGCTCAGGGAGGTGACGCTGTGCACACTGCACACGCTGCCGTTGGTGACGGTGCCATTTAAGTAGCTCAGTTCCAGGCTGTTGTGAGAGTTGCAATACAAGGCCTCTTCATTCCCGTGGAAAATGCTGTCTACAATCAAACACACACAGCAGCCTTCACGCCACCCTGTTCCAACACAGTTCCTTCCTGTCCGCTTAGTTTAAGTCATAAAAGGTGAGATCCCAGGACCTCCACCCGCCCACCCTCTACAGAAGTGGCACTGCTCAGGTGAGGCCGGTGTGTAGGACCCCTCAGCACACAGAGACGTGCGAGCCGAGGTGGTGAAAGGTGCTCACAGCACAGCACTCGATTCCACCGTGGGCTCTGCAGTCAAACCCCAACGGTGGTCCTCCCAGTGGACAGATGCACCCTCCTACACCTGGCCAGCAACAGGTCTGAGTATGTGGGCAAGAACTCCAGCGAGCGATAGATAGGAAATTACCCAGTACCTGCACCCGCACTTTCTGACTACAGTGGGAAAGTCCGTACACCCAGCGGTGCAGTACTCACAAGGAAAGGACAAGGCCGCAGCTGCAGATCGGCCGGGCTAGGTCGTTTTAAGCAGCCATGAATGGTAGGTAAAATGAGAATCGAGAGTTCTTTCAGCCTTTCCTGCAGTTATGATCTAGATCTGGTCTCATCAAGGTCAATTCAAGTAAAAAATACTAACAATTACTACAGTGAAGAGCCACAGAGATGCAGCAGCAGATTTCTAGCATCAGGTCTCTGCCTCCCAGATGTGCACCACCCCTCACAGCCAGGAAGGCGACCTCCTGCCGAAACACTTCTGTGGCCTAAACACATCCATTCTCATAGGTGCCTGAAGGAGGACTGTGGGACCCATGGGATCGGCGGAGCCGGGGGCGGAGGGGGGGCGGAGGTGGGGGCGGACTAGGGCAACGTGATTCATCTGCCTCCAGAGGGGTTTGCAGTCTTTGCCCCAGAAGCAGAGCAACATGCTTAGACACTCCTGTGACAAATGGTCTCAGTTTCCGCATCCAACCTTCCTCTCGCAGAGGATTCAAAATAGCCAGGAGGTGTTAACACAGCAACTCGTGCTGCACTTAATACGTCCACACCCAAGGTTTTCTAGCCCCTCCTCTCCTTTATGGAAACTGGATTGGTATTAGGCTGCTGATGTGCATATCCCAGCACCACCATCAACCTCTGTCTGCTTCCTCTCCTGTGAGATGGAAATAACAATGGCACCTGCCGTTTACCAGGAGGACTGAATGGGCCGATACAGAGCAAGCTACCTAGAGAGCCACTGGCACACACTCACAACTCTGCGATTGTTAACTGTCAGCACTGTAATTGCTATTACTAATGGAATGGGCTCTTGCATGCATTTTTTCAAGGGAGATGTTTTGGGAGGAAAAAAGGAATAAAGCAGATTTTGTTTAGTCCGAGATGGGATGATTAATCGCACAAAGAGCAGAAAGCTGACGGAGGCTGGGCCTGACTTTCCTGGTTGTCCCGGAGCTGTCTTCTATGTCACCCATGGACAAAACGGAAGGGACAGGAACTGCCCAGTGCCTTGGCCCTGGCTCCTCGGGCAGCCAGTTCTGGGGAGCCATTCTTTTAGGGGTAACCAATCTTTTTAGGCCTTTCACAACCCGACACTGCTGGCTACTGTCACACAGCCTATGGCCATGTTAAAAAGCAAGCTTCACTGTCCCTTAAAAAGAAGCAAAACTTCTCAACCTCTTCCTGGTACTCAGCTTTCTGCACTCGGGAGGACGCGGGTGAGGCATTACCTTGTGACGTGTGTGTTTCTGAGTAGGGCTCGCTGCACTGGACGTGCACGGGAGGCAGGATGTACGGCTGCTGCCGGGGCTGGAAGAGAACATGGTGGGGCTGGGGTGGACACTTCCCAGAGCACCCCACAGTCCCCCAGCCCCAGCCACAGTGAAGCACGGAACCCCACTCATCTGTACCCCAAATATCACCGAGCCTGGGACCAGACAAACACCAGGGAGGAACAAAAAGGTCAGACAGAGCAAGGGGCCACAGCCGGAAGCCCAGGGAAGCTATTCACTGTGTTTCCTCCATGCCTGCCTGCGTAACAGATGTAATCGGGACGGGCACCCTACAACAGCCATTCCACTCCAAACTGGTCTCCTCCTGGGGCCACTCGCTTCTACCCTTCGCCATTCACACAACCTGGCTCACAGGGCCACAGCAACTTCCAACGGGGACAGGATGATAGTGTCAGGCCGGGCCCAGTGCGGAAGCAACTTAAAAATCTAGTGACCCCACGAGCCAAGCATACAGTCCTCACAGCCGCTTATTCCTCTGCACACTGCAGGAGCAAGGTGGAAAGCACCAAAGCACTGCCCAGCCAACACAGGATCTTACAGGTGGCCGCTGAGACGCCACCCAAATCACTTCCGGCTGCAGAAGAGGGCAAAGCCCTCGGGGGGAGAAAAAACAAAAACTCTGAGGGACTGACCAGTGGCTAAGCAAAGGAAACACAGTGATCCCCAACTGTGACCTAGAGCGAGCTGCTTAACCTCACGAGGTCTCCAGTTCCTGCCAATCAAAGCAGCACTGTCCCTTCCCTGACCTCAAAACATTCATTTTACCCACGTAGCAGGGTTCCAGGTCAGCAGACTGTTTCATGAGCTTGTACACAGATACAGAAGTGTGCACCTCACCAAACAGGATGATCTTTCTATTTCTTTCTTTTCTCTGTTTTGGTACCAGGGATCAAACTCAGGTCCTTACGCTTGCGAGGGAGGCGGCGGCACCACTGAGCTAAATCCCTGAACCAATCTTTTGTATTTCTACAAGCTGTACAGACATCATTCTAAAAATTAATGCTCTATGAGGAAGGGAATGTCGAAGAAGCTGAGCTCAAACAACAGCTCAAAGCCAGCAGGAGCCCCAGCTTCTTAGTATCTGGCATCAGAAGGGCAAATAAAGAAGGGGATGCAGACAAGGGGCTCAAAACTTGAAAGGAATCGAGAGAGAAGAAACAAAGAAACAAAAAACTGAAGTTAAATGTATCTTGAGTAGACCCTGGTACCAGAGCAGAGGCACTATGTCCGCATTCCTGAAAGCTTTCAAGTGTTCCCGTGGCTAATTCTTAGTTGTAAATTAAAAATAGTTTTCCTTTCCTTGGCAATACAGAATTCAATTACATTTGTCCACACCAGGATGGCTCGTATTTTTTTTAATAGTGAAGAGAGATTTGTACAAAGGAACAGAAATAAATGGCAAGGCAAAGATGGTTTATTACCTCCTCTTGCTCTTACTTTAGAAAAGAGATCCAGTAAGTGACTATTTACGAGCTGGCCTATGTGCACAGGCACAGGCTAAGGAGGACTAATCCTTCCCATACCAGTTCAGGGTTACAGCACTGATCATCTCCTTATCTAGTCCCACACAGTCCTCCACTTCCTTCCCAACCTGCAAACACAGAAACAGATTCAATGCTATCACACAGGGGGCAGAAAGGGTAGAGAAAATCAGAGATCCGCACCCTGGCCACGGGCGAGGAGGCTGAGAGATGAGGCGGCTGGGCTCCCCCTCTCACCTCACTACAAGAACTGCAGTGAAAGGTTTAAACTGAACGGTCAGGGAGAGGGGAAGCCCTGAACCTGCTCTCCATCCTGTCCTCGTCGCAGTAAGAAAGGAGAAGCTCCACCTCCTCTCTGGATGACTGGGACCCGACCAGAGTCCACGGTGGCCTTCAATACTCTGCCTCTCAGTCTGTCTTGGGCATGAGTGAGAAGCGATCTTCCTAATTAGAACACGAAGTAAGTGAACAAGGAGCAGAGGATGAGGAAGCCAGTACTGCAAACGAGTCCACTGGTGATCCAGGGAAAGCCTGGAGTGTCCCCCGGTCTCCCAGGCAGGGGGCACGCGTGACAGGCTGTGACCACACGCACCAGGCCTCGGGCTTCTCCTGGGATGACAGTGGCCCAGCCCCGGGCTCCAAGAGTCCATGTCCGCACAGTCTCCAGAAAAGAATAACTGTCCTCAAAACTTTCCTTCTAAAGGACAAGCTAATGAGCTGCTGGAGGGCCACACACTCCAGACGAAACTTCGGCGTGACGTTCTCGCCGCTCCAAGAACTGTTCCTCCAGAAAAATTAAAACCCTACATTATTTACCTGTTTGTGCACAGAAAGTCATAACCTCAAAGAACTGTACTCAAGAAGCAGAAACTTTTAAAGGAAGCCAACTCCTGACAACTACTGTATTACCCTTAAGCCTCCAAGTAACAAGGCACAAAATGAAGAGAGTAATTACAATAGGAAAAAATCCTAAAAGATGAGGTGGGAAAGTGGATCAATTCAAATTGCACTCACTAACTAAAGCCTTCAAATGAGAAAATGCACATGAATCGTTCCTATCAAAGACCACGTGAGACCATTAACTACAGTCATTCCACTGCTGTTTCACTTAGGGACTTTCTGACCAGTTCAGTCTATGGCAGGGAACGCAGCCGCATCCGTGAGCTCAGAGCTGATGACACATCTCCACGCTATGACCAGAGATGAAAGGCGGAAAACACGACGGACAGGAAGGAGAGACACACAGGGGAGGCGGGGGCCACCCTGGGAGGAAGCACCGGGCTCGGGTACCAGGGCCACGGCGGAGCTCACCGCCGGCCTGGCAGGGGCTCGTCCCGCCCCTCCTTATGCCTCAGTTGGCCCTGCCTGCGCATGGAAAGACGGCACTCACCAGCGAGGAGCGGCTCCAGGTGGGCTGGCGTCGGATGGGAGGCGGAGACGCAGACTGCCTGTGTGAGAAGTTGGGAAAAATGAGAACGGCCATTATTTGGGGTCTGGTATCAGAGGGCAGCGAGGACAGGGAGACAGGAGGGCAAAGGACGAGATCAGCAGACGCACGCCGAGCATGCACACGCTTCGGGTCTGGGTGCCAACGGCGCCGAGGACAGTTTTCACAGCCTTTTTTATTCTTTTCTTTATTCTCAAAATGTCTGCAACTTATGCTGCCTTAGTAATAAGTTTTACCAGCTCATATTAAAAGAACGAGGTTTAAAGAAATAAAACTGAAAAACACCATTATGATTACACCAACTTTAAAAATTTGTACTCTCTGTGCCTTTGTGGCTGTGTAAAATCTCTTGTGATAAAGATTATGAGAGGCAGAAAGAAAGGCTGTCTTTCAAAAATGCTTCTAGCCAAATGAAATTCCAAAATAGGTAAAATATTTTTCAGTAAGAGCATATAGGAGCGCTTCTTGTTAAGATAACATATATTACAAATATTTTTCTGACCAGATCCTTTTTTTTTCTACCTTATTTTATTGCTAGGCAAATGTGCTACCACTGAGCTACATATCCTTAACCAGATCACCACCGACTGAGCGGTTTAAGTAAGAAAAACAAAGAACACAGTAGAGAGAAAAAAATGAGTGGGAACTTGAAATACTGTCGAATTCTTAAAAACTGAAATCCAAGATTCTCTTGAGCAAAGGGTCCCAAAGGCCGTAACAACATTTTCCCTAGTCCTCAGTATTATCTTTAAAAACATAAATAAAACAAAAAACAAGACCAAGTTTTTATTGAGTTAAAGTTCTTTGAAAGACTCTTCCTACCCTTGGGTCGGCCCCCTTCCTGACTCTCCCATCATACCATTCTTCCACAGCACAATGGAGACAGAGTAACCAGGGATCTCTAACGCTGGCCAAGCAAAACGTCCCCGCCCGGGTTAGACTCGGTCCCCTCGCCCTTCCTCCCCAGGCCAGTGGGAACCGCTCCCTGGAGGGTCAGCAGTTGACAAGCGGGGGGCCCTGCAGGGACAGAGAAAGTGACGGCCAAGTGTCACAGGTCAGCGCCTGGATGGCCGGGTGGGGGCTCTTTGCACCCCACAGGGGAGGAGGCCACGGTGACCATGACTTCCGGTCCGCTCGGGAGGGCAGTCCCGGCCTTGGCACACTGCTGAGGCGTGCAGTTGCATCTAGAATTTCACACGGATGTAACAAGACCGCCCCGATGTTTCATCAGCCCCAGGATGAAAAAAAATTAAGCTCTTATGTACACGTGCCAAGTCCTCACCGGGATCGTCATCAGCAGGTACTGCAAAGGTGCACTCATAAAACAGATGCTTAAAAAGGCCCATTTCTAACAGGAGCCCAGTTAGGAGGAAGGAGCACAGAGGGCCTATCACAGAAGCAGGACGGTTTTCAGTCTCGTAGTGCGGTTCACCAAGTGAGGCGAAGGGAAAGGACGCACCCTTGGGAATGAGCCCGGTCCTGCAGCCAGCCGCTGAGAAATGGTTAAGCGGAGGGCTGTGGTGAAACCCTCTTCTCAGCGCAGGTTCTGATCGACTCTACACAAGTGAACTACAGAACTGTTAATGGCGAGGACAGCCCGACAAGTCAAAGGCAAAAGCAGAGCACTGCCACACAGAGCGACCGAGACATGGGATCAAAAACGCGGTGCGGGGCAATGGGAGCAGAGGGCCGCGAGAGAGACGCAGGCACCTAATTGGCCATTCCCTGCTCGGGCCTCTGATTCACCCGGAGGACGGACTCACTCAAGGCCTGGGACCATCACACACACTCTGAGAGCCCCACAGTGACCAAGGACACGGCCTCTGTCCTACGGGGAAGAAAGTCGGGCGTGACCCAGGGATCCAGCTCCCAGCACCGCTCTATCCCTCTCGGCAGTGTCTCCGTGGGAGTGGAGAAGCGGCTCGTGCTGCATTTACACCCCTGCCACTCTCTGAACCCAAATTAAACACCTTGGGGGCCCGAAGCGCAAGAGCACGCTGTGAGAGCGTCTTTGAAGACCGAGGCAAAGGGGCGGGGAGCCTGGCGCGATCTCGGAGGTCAGGCCACAGGGAAGGGGCAGCAGCAGAAGCCCCTTTATTTCCAAATTAAATTAAAAGAAGACACAGGGACTCGGACACCTCTCAGCGCCTTCTAAATCATCCTCTAATTACCCGGGCCTCCAAGTTGCAGGCAGCCCATAGGGCCCGGAGCGCAGGGGTGAGCGGAGGAGCTAGGCGGCCGGATGACAGCTGCGTCCTCCCTTTCAAGCCGGCGGGCGTCACCTCCTCTGAATGTGCCGCGCCTGACCCCAGGGCGCCCCGCAAATTGGGCGCCACGTGGCTCCTCGGAACTCAGAGCCACAGCTCCCACCATCGGCCATCCGTTTGTGGCCGTTTCCTCCCTAGGCACACGCGACACCACAGGTCCGTCATTAAAGCCTCTCCCGCCCGCTGCTTTGGCTGCTGCTAGGGTCAAGGGAGGGGAGCCAATGGAGAGGCGACCTCCATCAGCGTGTACTTACTCGGTGCAGATTTTGTTTTGTTTATAAAACTTGTGCCGTGTCGTAAATAACCGAGAAACATATTTGGCATTCTCGATGTCATCCTTGAAAAGGGAGAGGAGGAGGGAAAAACAGATGAACATTTGTTTGATTAGATGCGACTGAACCAAGATCGCACTGCGTTTTCCCATCTTTGGAACAAACCGACCCACTGAAGCTCAGGGTCAGCGCCCCGTGAGGCCGGCCTGGAAGCGCAGAAGATGCTGCAGAGGAACCTCCATGCCTGTGAACGGGGACACTGGGTATCCTTACCTAACCCTGAACCAAGGGCTTCAAAGATAAATAACTGAACCAAGGCAGGGCAGAGAAACAACACGAGGTGGGGAAGAGGAGGAGGAGAAAGAGGAAGAATTCCACGGCCACTGGGCGGTACGGAAGTCCGGGCTATGACGGGAATGGAATCCAAGTCTGTCAGCACAGGGAAATGCAGTGCCACCCCGCCTGGCTCTCCAGACGGGTGCGACCACAGGGTCTTCACACACCAGAGAGGGCATCGGCCACTGGCAAGGCAGCCACGCGCACCCAAGTCTGAGAACCGAAAGTCAGCTCAGAAACGGGCATTTTGAGTATGGGATTTTACCACCACCGCCCTGAAACAAGTGACCGCAGCACTGGAGAAGGGTCAGCAGTGTCTCTGGTACAGGACACTTTTCTCAGGCGGTGGGAAGAGAGGACACCAAACCCCTCGGCATCAGGGCCCTGCCGCGCTACCACCCCGACTCACCATGTGGAACAGGGCCGTGTCCTCCTTGCTGAGCAGCTCCACCAGGATCATGGACTTGTTGTGGGTGACCGTCCCGACATCGCTCCACCTGTCAGAGGGCACGGAATGGGGCTGCACTCGCTGCTCCAAGGCTTCCTGACCAGCCAAACTATAACGCAGCCCCTTTCAGAAACAGCGGGAAATGTCCTTCCTCGCAAAGCGGAAGCTGCAGGAAACAGAAGGCGCCTCCATCTACACAAGGAGCCACTGGGCAGACGCGCTCAGAAGCTGGTACCTTGAGCTATGACTCAAGAGGTTTCTGTTGCTCTCTTCCACCCTATTCCCATGGCCCCGCTTTTTAACTATGGAGCAGAGAGCAGGACGACGCGGGACGACGCAGGAGGATGGCGGGGTGGTCCTGGATCCTCTCTGCTATGGTAACTGGCAGGACGCAGGCTGCAAAGTCTGACCTGGCAGGTCTCACGGGGCACTTGCCAAGGATTCAGGGTGGGGAGGCAGTGTTTCCCTCCACAGACGGGGCTCTGGGAAGAACTGGGAAAAGCTCAACCTGCACCCACGGTCTGGCTCTTCACTCATCTGGAAAACAGTCAGGGCAGCTGTCTGGCATCTCTCTAGGGGAAAAGAAAAATGGAAAGACAAGTCTGTTTACCTGTATATCACTGCTTGTCTTCCGATTCTGTTCCTCACGAAAATCCCCATGAAGAAAACGCCAAGCTGCATACTGTTTCCATGATTGTCCTATGTAATATCAACAAAAGACTTATCACCATGTTCCCTGCTGCACTGCTCACAAGAGCCAAGATACAGGGAGGACTAATTATCCATCCATGGATCAATGGGTAAGGAAAACGTAGGATACACAGTGTACTCAATGGAGTACTATGCTGCATTCAAAAAGGAAATCCTGCCTAGAAGACTTTATGCTAAGTGAAATAAGCCAGGCATAAACAAAACCACATGTCCTTACTTAGATGTGGGATCTAAAAAAAGCTGGGTCCATCGAATCAGAGTAGAATGCTGGTGAAAAAGAGGAGCCGATATTCCCCACAGGATGCACAATTTTATTCAGACAGAAGGAACAGATGCAGGAGCTCAACTGCGTATTCCAGGGACCAAAGGTAACAATGGACTGCATTCTGCATACTGAGAGACTGCGCAGAAAGTATGTGAGGTCACAAATATGCTGATTCACCCAGACCGGCCATTACATTTATACGTATTTCAAAACATGTGTATACTAAATACACGCATGCGACTCGTATGTGGTCCACTAAACAGTAAGCTTTCCTGGAGACATCCACAATGCAGCGGTCACCGAGGGCCTCACAGTGCCTGGCTGCAGCACACGCGTGGTATCCCTCGCTGTTTGGGGCGAATCCCGAGTGTGTCCCAGCAAGGCGGCAACCAGCACGGGACAAGGACAGGGCTTCGGCCCTGCACACCCACCTGAGGGATGATACGCTATTTCCTGCCTCTCCTGTTGTCACAACACAGCAATAATGTGTTTTCCGCTCCATTTGGGACAGAATCTTGGCACTTCCTCGGGTCTGCGGATCACTTGGGTTTTCTCTTTCGTGCACTTCTACTCACTTTTTAAACTTAAGTTTCTGAAATCAAAGTTACTCACGCACCAATTCTGAAAAGCACTCTGCACCTCCCAGAGCTGCCGCTGTGTCCCCGTGCACCGTGCGTCCGTCCCACACAGCGGAGAAGCCCGAGTCCCTCCTCACGGGGCCCAGTCCCCAGTCTGTGCCTGTTTCACCTGCCCTGACGGACCTCCTGGCCGGGTCCGCTAATTCCTTATTTCTTTCATTCCCTGTCCCCCGCTGTGCTGTACTTGGATTTTTCCCCTAATGTTGTAAGGAACTGTTTTAAGTTTTACTTTCTAACCTGTTCACTGTTTTCCACTGCTGATACCATATTTTTAACTCCCAAGAGTTCTTCTGTATTTTCTCATTTTGTCCTACGCACCCCATTCCTTCACGGAGACTCCTCAGTGTTGCCAATCCTGAGGCTCTCACGGCAGCATCGGGCTTTCTCTCTGCAGCGCCCCCACGTCACCCCCACCTCAGTCTCTCCTCCCAGGGCACCCTGTGGCTGTCCTTCCATGCTCCAGAGTGGGTGTGGGGTGCTGGGCAGCACTGGGGAGATGGGGGTCACCGGCCCCACACTGGGTGTTTCCGGTCCCTGCTTGAGTTCTGAGAGCAGCAGGGGACTCGGCTCCACAGCCGGCAGCTAAGCTGTCATACAGCGCCCCGCTTCCTCCGGGGCTGGAGACGGAGTTCGGTGCGCCCCAGACACCTGCCCTGAGGTTCCTCTCCGTGACCTCTGCTTTCTCCTGCCACCAGCACTCACTGGAGAGCCGGAGGCTTCTAGAAGAGAAACAGGACCCTTCTGGGGCAAAGCAGAGTGTGGCAAGAGCAAGAATCGAGAAAAGACAGCAGGCCGTGCAGTGCTGACAGAAGCTGAACAGGCGAGTTACATGACCGGAAAATCCACGCAGGAAGGAAGATGGGAGCAGCCAGGGAGGACGTTCTCCGGAGAGATGAGGCTGGCACTTGGTCAGCAGGGCTGAACCGGAGTCTGGTGGGGTCTGGGTACAGAAGAGCAGTTCCCGGAGTGAAGAAATGGAAAACCGGAGAGGACGCCCAAGGTGCCCCCTGCCCGGATGCCAGGGCACTGCACTGGTCAGAGCATAAGGGCTCAGACACCTGCAACCGCAGCACCGAGGGACTGCAAGCTCAAGGCCAGCCTGAGCAACTTAGCAAGATCCTGTCACAAAATAAAAACGCAGAAGGGCTAGAGATAGCGCTCCGTGAAAAGGCCCTGGGTTTAATCCCCAGTACTGGAAAGGAAGGAAGGAAAGATAAACAGGCTGGGCGGATGGAGACACAGAAGGAAGGGAGAAGGAGGGAGGGAAGGAAGGAGGGAGACGTGAGGTCCCTGCTGAGGCTCAGCTGTCTTGGCTGCCTCAGAAGCGCCGCCATGTCACGTGCTCAGGTGACACAGGGCTTGGGCAGCAGCCACCCCGTGTCTGTGGAGGACCAGGGACAGCTGCCAGGAAGCCGCTTCCAGGACCACTGGAGGAGAAGCCCACATTGCATGCGGGTGCTGTGTCTCCCCATGGTCCCCAGCACTCTTTCCCACCTGGTCCCTCAGACTTCTCCGTCCTGCTGCTCCTGTCCACCACGTCGGGTCACAGACAGACACACGGAGCACCTGGCGAGCGTTATCTTTCCTTTCTCCTTTTGCAGTGCTGGGGATTAAACCCAGGGCCTTTGCACAGGTCGCATTAAGGAAAACTCCAGGAGCCAGTACAGCCCACCTTTCCCGGTGGACGGCAGAGCTCCCTCTGGGTCCCTCACAGAACCTCTGGGAAGGGACCAGACCCCAGCATGGGGTTTCCCCACTACCCCAACTGCCCCTGCTGCCTCGGGTCAGGATGATTCAGAACAACGCAGCAAAACCCCCAATACCCTGGCATGGAAGCAGCCACGTTTCTAGAAATGGAGAAGAGTTTACTGATTTTCCAACGACCCCAAATAAATACCGACTACCTAGGGGCTGCTGCAATGTAAGCGGACGCAGATGGCTTCGAGAGGTGTTATGGCGAGGACCTGGGTTACAGCCCACGAAGGGCAGCCGCCAGAGGAGCCAAAGACAATTACACACGTCTACCGAAGAGCTGTTTCGCCCTCCGCACGAGCCGTGGCCACCCGGTTCGGTTCTGCCTGACACACATGGACAGTTCCCTTAAGGCAAACTGCACATGTGCAGCCGAGGGGAACAGCGCGCTTATAAAGCAGCCAGCACTGCTGCGCTGGAGCGGATGTTCCTGCTGATGCGAGAGGCCTCTCCCGAATGGCTGGGGCGAGCCAGCGGCTGGAGGGCTCAATACAACTCCACTTTTCGGGAAAAGTTGTCAACAGCGAGAGGAAAATGAGCCTCTACTGTGGTTTAGCCTCGGAAGTGACCACGCATGGGATCCCAAAGCCACACCCGCTCTGGGAGGCGGAGTGACACCAGGGATGCAGTGTGTGGTCACAGGCTCAGGGTCCCCAAGGAGCCCCAGGGGCTGGACAGCCACTCGGGGAGCTCCAAGGAGCTGGAGAAATAAAATCAACCGCACACAGGAAGCGCTTCCTTCTATAGCTCACAGATCACTCTCCCTGTGCCTGCTATAAGAAGATTCAGCTCAGTGGTTCTGCCACCTGCCTCTCAAGCACAAGGTCCTGAGTTCAATGCCCGGTACCAAAATAAAGAAGAGAAATGAAATTCGCATGGGAGAGAAATCCTGGCTGGAGTCTCTGTGCACAGAGCAGGACAGGAGCGATGGCCCAACCGTACTCAGCACTGGGCCCAGCCAGGCTCCTTCAAAGTTTGGATGAAGCAGTGTACAGTACTCACTTCGACAGTTGTCTTTCCGTGTCTGTGTGGTGCTGGAGTTCAGCCCCAGGGTTTTCACACTGAGCTACATCCCTGGCCCTTTTTTACTTTTTATTTTGAGCCAGGGTCTTGTTAAACTGCTCAGGTTGACCAGGCTAGGCTCAAACTTGCAATGCTCCTGCCTCAGCCTCCCAGAGTGCTGGGATTATAGCCGTGCACCACTACACTCATCTACACGATTGTCTCATACATGAGATGTTCTGCTGAAGATCATGGAAACCTCAAAAACCTCGCAGCGAAGATTCAGGGTCTGCTTCCCGAGGTCGGCAGACTCGCCGACTTGGGCTGTGTGGCAGTGAGAAGGCCAAGCCCTCCAGCCCCTGCCGTCCACATGGGCACTGCCCGGCTGTGTGGCTCTGAGCCGGCCACAGCAAGGCCAGGCCGAGCACCTCACCTTCACGGGGAAGACCTCTTGCCCGAACCCGTCCAGCGGCTCCACTTCGTTGATGTACATCAGCTCGGCCTCGGCGGGCAGGATCCCACTGCAATCCAACGAGAGGAAACCGGGGCTGCCTCAGCCATCGGGGAGCCTGCCCGGCAGATGGCTAATCCCTGGAGGGCGATTACGGCCAGGCAGGGTTGGGACACTGCAGATAATGCATTAACACGTTCAGCCCTTGGCCGAAGGACAGGGATTTATAATGAGGAAGGTAAAGCCTTTCACTAACAGCTGCAGCCCTAAAATACTACAGTCGTCCCAAACGTCTCTGCGAGAGATGCTGCCTGCTTAGAGGAGAAGTTATGTTTTTCCCAACTGGGCAAAATTTCCACTATCCTTTTAAAGAAAAAAAAATTTAAATAAGGTTTATTAGGGCGATAAGGGAGGCTGGGCACTGGGTTCTCTGAGGATGGACAGAAAAGAAGTCTGTTGGCCACTGGCTCACAGCGGCTCCTAGGGCCTGAGGTGGAGAGCAGGAGTTTCCTTAGGTTACAGTCTCCACCCGCCTCGGCCCCTGGCTTCACCTCCCACCCAGCATGGCGTTTCCGGTCTGCACACTTGCACTGGGCACGTGGGCTTCCCAGACTGGAGAAGGTTCTCTACGTCACACGTGTGTGGGCCTCCTGGGGAGGGGGACGGGGAGAGGGAGGAAGGGAGGAGGGAAGAGGGAGGAAGAGAATGGAGGGAGGGAGGAGGGAAGCAGTTTGCAAGCCCACCTATTCCTTTCACAGGACAGAAGAGAGCGGAGTCTTGTGGGAAGAGGGGAGCCCCAGGCTCCGGCCCATGCCCACGGCACCTGCTGCCTCTGCAGCCTCACCTGTGGGCCTTGTGCTCCTGTGCGACCTTCTGCGTCAGCTCCTCCAGAACAGCCTCTTCCAGGGCCAAGTCCTGGAAGGAGAGAGAGCACTCGATCAAGCAGTGCCCAGCATTTACGTCCTGACGGTGAGCCTTACGAGCTCCCTTAGGAGATGCTCCTCGCTGGGCCTGATGGTGCACTCTGGGAAACTGAGGTGCAACATTCATAAGGTCATATCCAGCCGGGGCAACTTAAGTGACCTAGTGAGACCCTGTCTCAAAGTAAAACATGTAAAGAGGGCCAGGGATGTAGCTCACTGCAAAGGTCCTGGGTTCAATCCCGAGTACCTCCAAAAAAGAAACGAAGGAAGAAAGGAAGGAAGTCAGGTCCTGACTCGCGGCTTTCCCTCACTCCCGCGGGATGAAGGGCTGTGAAGCGATTCCTACTGTCATACTCAGCTCTGCATGAGAGCTCGGGCTACTTCCAGGTGGACTCTGGGTTATCACCTAGTTTCCACAGGGCCCAGAACAGTCCTGTTTTCCTCCCTACGTGCCCGTCTCTCGACTGCACTTGTGTCAAAATTGCTTAGCAGGTACTCGGGCATTTTGGACGGTCAGGCTATGCAGGTTAATGAATTTCTAGGCTGCCGTCCATTCAAAAGTTGAACCCAGGAAGGGACTGAGCCAGGCCTCTTGAACACCAGCAAACGAATCCAAACCCCGTGTGGGTGGAGCAGGCTGCGTCGGATGCCACTCAGCAGTCGTAGGAGCGGAGACGGTCAGGACGGCCGACAGCTCAAGGGAGCTCCGGGACGACAGGTGTGCAGAGCCAGAGTCTGGCCAAGGGACACGGGCCTGGAAAGTCGTCCCAGGAAGAGCCTGGGCAGGCACTGTCCTCCGAGCCTGTCCAGCTGAGGCTCTCGCTGCTGGGACAGCAGGGCGAGGACTGATGTTCTGGCGGAAGTCCCAGCACGTGCATCTCCTTAGCTTCTCAAATCCCATTTGTAAAGATCTACCCCAAGTTAGACAGCTTTTCGTGGAAAAAATGCCACCCCCGAGAATGCAAACTCCGGCACTGTTACAAAACACCCTGAGTCAAGACATTAAACCGGGAAGAGTGGGACTGATGAGACCCGGACAGCTCTGCACGGAAATTCTACACAGCCCTGCATGTTCTGCAGATCCTGTGCTCCTGAGAGATGGCAGAGAAGGCAGGGACCCGAGGAGCTCTTGTTCTTCACGGGAATGGATTCGTCCCGCTTACTCTCCGGCTGTCCAGAGATGATGCAAACCCACAGTGGCGAAAAAGCGTTGAGTTCTCAGCTCTGTGCTTGGAGCCTGTGCCGGGGTACGAGGGGGAGGGGGAGGGG